TTGGTCCTGCTAGTGAAGGCAGGGGGCTGGACTTCAAGGTCCCTTCCAGTTCTAGGAGATAGGATATCTCCATTAATTTAAAATTAATTATATATATATATATATATACACACACACACACAAACAGTTAGCCAACACAAGATAAACTGAAAAATTATTTGGGAGCAGCAAAATTTGTGGGCATTGTATAAAATCAAATGAAAAATGACACTGCAGACGTTAGCATTCTTCCCTGCAGCAAGAGGGCATGGCCTCCCTCCCAGACTGAAGGGGAGGAACCACTCTCCACTCCCTGGTGGGTAGAGCCAGGCAAACCACACCCCCACCAGAAGCAGAGGTTGTGACAGGAAGTTTGAAAGGTGGGCTCTGCAGCTCAGTTGTGCAAGAGCTAGAGAAGGAGGAGGATGTCTCTCACCTGATGCTTAGCTCTGCACCTGAGACAGAGATCTACCAATGCTGAGGACCCAGAGGAGGTGCTGGGACTCCTGACTGACCCATTCCTGCAGGAGCTACTGGGACTGCTGCTGGCTGTGTAGCCCAGAGAGACAGAGGAATCCCAGGAGACCAAGGTACACTCCCAGGGACACCAGACAATAATCCGGTTGTGTTGCCAGAATTCAGATCAGTGTGTTTGAGTGGGATCCCCGCTGACCCAGTGGTGGAAGTATCTACCACTGTTAGGGCCCTGGGCTTGGACCCGGTGGAATAGGGTGGATCTCAGTCCCCCCACCCCTGGGGTGACTGTCTACCCACCTTAGTTCAAGCAAACTGCATTTATCTGCCATTTGCATGAGCCAGGAGGCCAGGCGAAAGACTCTTATTGCTCTGCCCTGCCCAGACGGTCAGGGCTAGGGTTGCCAACTTCCTGACTGCAGAAAACCAAACACCCTTGCCTCATCTCCTGCCCCTGCCCGGGGCCCCTCTCCTTCCCCGCCCCTTCTCCAAGGCCCTGCCCCTGCTCACTCTATCCCCCCTCCCTCTGTCGCTCGCTCACTGTCCCCCACCCTCACTCACTCACTTATTTTCACTGGGCTGGGGCGGGGCAGGGCATTGGGGTGTGGGTGGGGGTTTGTGGTGTGGGCTCCAAGAGGGAGTTTGGGTGTAGGAGGGGGATCAGGGATGGGGTGTGAGAGGGGGGTGTGGGCTCCGGGCAGCACTTACCTCAGGCCAATGGGATCTGCGGAGCCAGTGCTCGGGCTCTGCAGGCAGGGGCAGTGCGCAGAGCCCCCCTGGCCGCACCTGCACCTAGGAGCTAGAGGGAAATGCCAGACACTTCTGGGAGCTGTGTGGAGCCAGCAGGGCCGTAGCAACAAAGAACATGGCCCACTCCGAACATATGTCCGGGCGGGGCCCCTTACAATGCAGAAACTGGAATGCGGTATTTATTTTATACAATATACAGGGTTCATATTATGTATACATAGGCCTACAGTGTACATGTATTCCGTATTTACGCAAAGAGCTTCTTTCGAGCCTTGTTCTCCGCAAATTGGTTAATCAATGCATCATAGTCCAGAGATCTGGCAATCTTGTTTTCGATTGAGATAACTGCAAGTGCAGAAAGCCTGTCATCTGTCATGGTTGAGCGCAGGATCAGTTTCTTGATCAGTTTCATTCTGCTGAAGCTCCTTTCAGCACCAACGACAGTAACTGGTGTGGTCAGAAGAATTCTGATGCAAATGCAAAGATTCGGATATATCTCCTGAAGGCTGTTCTTGTATATGTACATTAAAAAATTGTTTGCCGTTACAAGTCCTCTCTCTTTCTCGATGACATAAATAAAACGATTCAATTCCATTATGAGTTCGTTGGCATCAATGTCTCCCATTTTTCTTCCAAAATTTTTGCTGTGATTCTCCAGTTCATTTTCTCTGTGACACTGCTTTAGGCTGTTAGCGTTGTACAGAAATCCAAACAACCTATACCACTCCACGAGTTGGTCAAATCGCGACGAAACAGAAGATATGGCCTGATCAGTGAGAACAAGAAAGAACTGCGATTTGAATTTTTCTTCGGCAGAAAGACGACTCAAATCATCAGCACATTCGTAATCAAACATTCTCTTCTTACGTCACACCCTGGTTTCTGGAAACACCTGCTCAATACCCATATGCTCTGCTATTTCACGTGCATTTGTGACCATAGAGATATATCCTGTATTTCGATAGTCTTCCAAAAACTTCTTTGTAGCACCGACTTCTGCCTGCAGTACGTCAATTGACACATCTGGTGACTGAATTAATTTGCTGGTTTTATTGACGTGAAATAGTATATCGTACCACTTGTACACAGTCAGAACAAAAGGCCACGTAGTAACGTGGTCTAAAAGCGCACCGGCTTCTGTTGCTGTATTGCCATCTTTCTTTTCGAGTGCATATTCTCGCAAAGATGACAAAGCATTGCACAATTCTTCAAGGTGATAACGCAATGGCTTCACAGCATCAATTCTCGACTCCCAATGAGTGTCCGATAACACTTTAACATATATTGGCATATGTTCTTGAAGTATATCCCAACGTGAAGGTGAAGAAGAAAAGATAACGTATATTCTGTTAATCAGACCGAAAAAGTCAACGGCATATTTCGATGACTTTGCCGCGTCTGAGATCACAAGATTCCAAGTGTGAGCTCCACATGGTACATACAAGGCACGGTCATTTATTTCTAGCATGCGGGCTTGAACTCCTTTATTCTTTCCTCTCATATTTGCGCCGTTATCATAAACTTGGCCTCTCATGTCAGCAATGTCTATTCCTAAGTTGTTTGCCTTTTCAAGAAATGCTTCCAATAAGCCCTCGCCAGTTGTATCATGAACATTAAGAAAACCAACAAATGCTTCACGAATATTGACATCATCTTCACCATTGCATTCAACAAAGCGTAACACCACAGACATCTGTTCTTCATTTGACACGTCGGGAGAACAGTCCAAAATAACTGAATAATATTTTGCTTTTTTAAGCTGCGCTATGTTGGCCTCTTGAATGTTACTGGCAACAAGTTGAATCGGCTCGTTTTGGATCTGTGGACTGAGGTACTGAACATGTGTCTCTGCCTTCTTAATCCTCTGTAAAAGTTCGCTGAGGACAGTATCATACTTTGCAAGCAATTCAAACAGTTCCAAAAAGTTGCCATTCGAAGGATTGCCGAGCTTTTCATTACTTCCTTGAAATGCCAAGTTTCTTTCGGACAAGAAAATAACGACATCAACCATGTGTTTGACAACATTTCTCCAGAAATTTCTTTCTTTCAGAAAAGCCTGCAATTCGAGTTGGTCAATAGATGTACGGTTTACTATGCCTGACTGAAGTCAAACCATTTCACCATACAGTCTTGATGACCTTTGCCTGTTTCATGCTGCTGAAGTCTTTTTGACAGTGCTTTCCAAGCAGATGTTCCACAACATAGCGGTATGTCGCCAGTGCCAAATAATTTACAACAAAAACAAAAAATGGCATCTTTCTGAACTGAGTACATTAACCATGAACGTCTTATTTTCTCGCCATTTGCCATGGTTTGATAGAAATGAGTACTTGTGAACCTCCGTCTTTCCTCGTAATTTTCATTCTGCTGCGGTGGGCCACATGCAACAATGTCACACACTTGGCTGTCTGATATTATAGACGGCCAATCTCCTGGATCATCAGTCAGTGGTTCACATTCAGATACTTCTTTCCCAGGAGCAGCTGGAATATCTGTCACAGTTTGTTTGGTAAACAACTGGCTTCACCTTCGACCTCACTTGAAGCACTTCTGGATACTTCTGGATACAATTTGTCGCTGCTAGCGCTGTCCATTTCATGTGCCTGTACCTGTACGTTGGATTCCAGTGCAAAATACGTTGTCAACTTTGGAATTTTCTCAAGTTCCTTCTCGGCATCTTTTGCTGCCTTTCGTTTACTAGCTCCGCTCTTATACATTGTCTTAGACATCACAAAGCACGCTTCTGCATTGGAAACGAATCGTTTCAAACGATAAAAAGTTAAACAACTAAATTAATAACATTTATCCACCGACCGCCATTATGAACGCAAATACACATTCTTTGAATGGGTCCAACTAAAATTCGAAACTGACTGACAGACAACTGATGTAGCCAATAGCATTATGATATATCATAATAACTTCACAGTTTTGTCAGTAAAACCGACATGGATCGTGCAATAGCGTCAATAAATGTCACTTACCCAATTATACCTTACATTTTTGTTGCCACTTTTAGGGGCCCCCTTCCTTGCGGGGCCCCCTCCAGTCGGAGGGTACGGAGGACGCTCGCTACACCTCTGGGAGCCAGACACTGAAGCAAACCAGACTTTTAGTGGCCCAGTCAGCAGTGCTGACCGGAGCTGCCAGGATTCCTTTTCGTCTGGGTGTTCCAGTCGAAAACTGGATGCCTAGCAACCGTAGTCAGGGCTCTTCAGACTGCTTATTCCACTTTAAGTGTTGCCTTGACAGGTACGCGGTAGCGAGGGGGCATGGCCTCCCTCCCAGACTGACAGGGAGGGATGGCCACAGATGTCTACATTCCCATTGAATAAAACTTTGGTGGTTTGGTCTAGCATGCAACTCACGGAGCATGAGGAGGAGGAGAGGAAGAACATAAAGATTACAAAAGGAGAGAAAGAAAGAAAAGGCCTGATCAGGGCCCAGGTTACGAGAAAAGTTAGTCATTTTGTTCCTAATTAAGCAAATCACTGAAGCTTGTGTTTAAATCCTATTCACGCTGACTTAAATGGGACCTTAAACACATACTTTACTGAATCAGGGCCTTCATGAATTTCAAGAGGGCATTGGTGGTGCTTAGACATCATCCAATTATATACCATTAAACTGGTGTATGTGTTGACCATTTGTAGTCATATCTTTCAATCTCTGCCAGAACAACATAGTAAAAGTTTTAGTTTAATGGGCTGAGGATGAATAGGAAATGACCAGGTAAGGATTTACTAATACTATCTGTAACATTGTTGCAGCAGTAGCTATTTGGAAGTGTTTAGCAATCTTTTTTCCTTTTAAGAGGAAACTTTAAAAAAAGATCTTTTCCTGTACAGAAAAGATTTGGTTTGGGGAAAAGGTGCTAGAAGCAGGAGAGGTTTCTTATCACACTTGAGAGAGATTCTGGTTCATCTATATTGAAAACTTTCTTCTTCCACTCAGCAGTATGAATGGAATATTCATTTCCTGGTTAGAAAAGATCTATTCACAGGTGACGCCAATTGAGTTTGTTTAAAAATGTTTTAGAACAGATGCTGCAAAATAACTAAGGCACCTCTGCAACTATCATTTAACTTTACATAAATTTGTTTTGATTGTTTTCATGCTCCAATTTCCGTGAATATTCTACACAATTGAATACCGGAGAATATTAGTGAAAAGTGAATATTGAGCTTAGAAATGCAAATATTTGCACCAGAGACCTGACTGTATGAGCTGCACTCTTCCTATATAGCATGGGGACCTATGTTTCTAATCAAAACAAACAAACATAGCTGGAATTTCTAACATTGTGCACAATCTACAGATTGAGAATTATTCATAGAAATTACTTGGCAAATAATAATTTTGAACAAGCAGGTGTAAACAGAAAAAAATATTTGTTGAACCATTTACCCAGCCTTAAATATATCATTTTTAAAAGTGGTGGTGGTTGTAATAAAATGAAGCTGCAGTCAGGGCCTTCCTATCTCTGCTGTGGCCGTGGTTTTAATTGGAGTGTGGAGAGGGATAGTGGCCGCTTGCCAGTGTTATATACTATCCTCCAGCTGTTCAGACAGTGAAAGACCCTAAGATGCGACAGCAAAGGAGCTGGCAGCCACTCAGTCTGCCGGCAAGACACCAGTGAACATCCTAGCAGACTATTTAAGACTTTATTTAATATGGTAGTCATTAACAGTTGGGGTGGGTGGAAAGGAAGAGGCACCATGTAATTGATTAACTGGAAATGCAGAACAGTTCTAATAGATTAAGGTGCTCCAATACACATTTCATGACTCCATTCACCATTCCCTCCTTTATTTTAATTTGATTAAACTGTTGCAAAACTCTGAATGCAGAAACATCTCTGGTTCTGATATACTGGGAAGCTGTTAAAAGGCAATTATTGTAGAAACCACTGCTTGAATACCAACCTACAGTAGCACAGGGTTGGGCCCTCTCTATTGGGAACTGTATGTAGCACCTCTTGATGAATTATTCCCCTACTTAAATTATGACTCAATGGGTGGTTCAGAGAGAAAAATATAGCATTTAAAGAATGAGTTAGGAAAATGTTCGGTGGACACGTGAAACTGATTCAAAAACATAACAACAATGTTCTACCTTATGAGTTGGTGTAACAGCATGTGATCAAGGCGAAAATCAACAAATCATAGTAACAATAGAAAAATATATCAAAACATTCCTAAATAACTGTTTGTTCTATGTCTCTGCAGTTCATCTGCTATGGGAGAAAATAGATTCAGCTGGGTCCCCTTTAAACAGAAGAATTATCTATTCATAGTGGAACTGTTTGTTTTGCTATGTATCAACTAAATTCTGACCCTAGTTACACATATGCAGTCCTATTAACTTCAGTGGGGCTACATCAGTGTAATGGGAGGTAGAACTGTGCCCTATATTGCTGTGTGAGCACCAGGGCATAGCTATTGCTGAAGGCACTTAAACAAAACAAAACAAAAGCTGAAAGACAAACGTTTTGTTTTGTTTGAACAGCAAGAAACAGAGGAACATGGTCCAAGGTTACATAAGAGCTATTTTATAGCTGATCTTTTATGTTCAGTTCTATATCATCAGCTGCATTTTAAATCATTGAAATGTAGGATGTAATATTATGCCTAAAAATCTTGTGAAATGTATTTAAACATGAGAATATTACAATATGAGAACCCTATCAGGAGGTAATGATATTGCTATGCTGTAAGATTAAAAAAAAGTGGATCAATTTACAACACAGCATATCAAAATATACAGACTCTGTGACCATAATCCTGTCATCTGATCCACAATCAGATGTTTGCACCTGTTCAGAGCTCCATTAACTTTAAGTTAATCCATTAAACTTTAAGTGCAAAGGCTGAAATTGTGGAAAAGCACTTGCCCCATAACTTCAGCTGTGCTGAACACAACGCCATCTACAGCCTCAGGAATAACTCTGACATCATAATCAAAAAAGCGGACAAAGGAAGTGCTGTTATCATCATGAATAAGTTGGAATATGAACAAGAGGCTGCTAGACAGCTCTCTAACACCACATTCTACAGGCCATTATCCTCTGATCCCACTGAGGATTACATAAAGAAACTACATCATCTTCTCAAGAAACTCCCTGACAAAGCACAGGAACAAATCTGTACAGACAGACACATGCCTAGAACCCCGACCAGGGGTATTCTATTTGCTACCAAAGATCCATAAATCTGGAAATCCTGGACACCCCATCATCTCAGGCATTGGCACCCTAACATCAGGCTTGTCTGGTTATGTGGACTCTCTCCTCGGGCCCTATGCTACCAGCACTCCCAGCTATCTTCGAGACACCACTGACTTCCTGAGGAAACTACAATCCATCGGTGATCTTCCAGAAAACACCATCCTGGCCACTATGGACGTAGAAGCCCTCTACACCAATATTCCACACAAAGATGGACTACAAGCTATCAGGAACAGTATCCCCGATAATGTCACAGCTAACCTGGTGGCTGAACTTTGTGACTTTGTCCTCACCCACAACTATTTCACATTTGGGGACAATATATACCTTCAAGTCAGTGGCACTGCTATGGGTACCCGCCTGGCCCCACAGTATGCTAACATTTTTATGGCTGACTTAGAACAATGCTTCCTTAGCTCTCGTCCCCTAATGCCCCTACTCTACTTGCGCTACATTGATGACATCTTCATCATCTGGACCTATGGAAAAGAAGCCCTTGAGGAATTCCACCATGATTTCAACAATTTCCATCCCACCATTAACCTCAGCCTAGATCAATCCACACACACGGTTCATTTCCTGGACACTACTGTGCTAATAAGCGATGGTCACATAAATACCACCCTATACCGGAAACCTATTGACCACTATACTTACCTACATGCCTCCAGCTTTCATCCAGGACACACCACACGATCTATTGTCTATAGTCAAGCTCTAAGATACAACTGCATTTGCTCCAATCCCTCAGACGGAGACAAGCACCTACAAGATCTCTATCAAGC